AGATACACCAGCTTTTGACCCTGAAAATATTTGGAGAGACCTCTACATGAACCACCAAGGACCCTTAGGGATCCCTAGATCCCAAATTAGGTTAAAAATATTAATCTGTAAAGCCATCTGAGGCTGTGAGAAATGATGTCTGATATAATTCCGTCACAGAAAGAAAGTGTATACTTGTGGGAAAAACACTAAATTTGGCATCAAGGAACCTGAGTTCTCATCCTGGTTCTCCTACAATGTACATGTAACTAATTCCTTAGCACTTACCTTTAGTACACTTTACCTTTCAGAGATGTTGAAATTTTAAAGGAAACATTATTTTTTAACTTCTATATACTGGTGCTAAAATTATAAACTTCTCCCACCTTTCCAGTTTTCTTAAACCTTACTTACATTTCCCTTTCCCAAGTACTCTGTGAACTAATGACATTGGCCTTCTTTCTTTTCCTCAAACATTGACAGCAATCTCCCTACTCCAGGCATTTTTGCTGCCTGTCCCTCGTGAGTGGAACTCTGTCTCTTCTTCATCTCCTCCTCTTGGCTTCTCTGTCTTCCTTCAAGTCCTCTCTAAAATCCTGCCTTCTACTGGAAGCCTGTCCCTGTTTCCCTTAATGCTAGGTCCTTCCATTTGCTGATTGTTTCCAATTTATCTGGACATTGTTTGTACATGACCGTTTCTTTATTGTCTCCCCCATTAGATTGTTAGCTCTTTGAGAGCAGGAACTGTCTTTTGCCTTTCTTTGTACTCCCAGTTATTAACACATTTCCTGGCACATAGTAGGCACCCAATAAATGTTACCCTATGTATGAATTGATTGATTTGAATCATTGAAATTATTTTGTAATGCACAAATAGATCCATAATTACTACAAAGAGGTAGACTGGTTTGTATTAAGCCCAGAATGGTGATCAGAAAACGCCCTGAAGAGACTGAAGTAAAACATTAATTTTACAACGATTATTATGCATGTAATGGCAGAAAATATTGAGCTGTTCTTTGTGATCTTATTTGTACATAAAAAATAGTGGACACAAGATATATATATATATAGATATATATATATATATGTATATATATAAAACATGATAGGTATGTATATATAAACATTAAAGTAGCAATATTCAAACTAAAGTATATATGTGTGTGTGTGTGTATACGTGTATGCATATATATGTACATACACACACACACACACATACACAAATCCTAGAACTAGATTTTATAATTCAGTCCAGGTATTGTTAGCCTCTAAGGAACTAATTCATCCTGACCAAACTGACTAAAAACAAGACTGAAAATGTATTTATTTTACTGACAAATATTATATATAGAAAGGCAGAATGCTATTTGTAGAAACAATACTGAATTTGGAGTCAAAGAAACTTGGATTCATCCTTTGCCTCTTACATTTTACTAGACGTGTGAAAATCAGCAAATCATATATGTTTCTTGACACTGTTTCCTCATTTGTGAAATAAGGGAGACTACTGAATTCCTTGTGTTGTTATAAGGATCAACAGGAGAATTATGCAAAGCTCTTTTATAACATAGTGGTAGTAATAGTTGTAGTAGGTAGTAGTGGTGGTGGTAGTGGTAGTGGTGGTGGTGGTGGGGTGGGTGTGGGGGTGATAGTAATAGTAGTAGTAGTAGTAGTAGTAGTAGTAGTAGTAGTAGTAGTAGTAGTAGTAGTAGTAGTAGCAGCAGTAGTAGTAGTCATCTTAGTAGTGATTATAAAAATAAAATAAATGTGGAGATGACTGAAATACTCATGGCTGGTTAGGATATTGTCTTTCAAGTTGAAAAAACTGTTTGGAAAATTAAATTAATAATAGAAAGATACTCAGGTTATCCATAGAATAAGAATATAGGAAATTGATAATTTTAATAGAAAGTGCCATTGAGCCTTTTATTGTTTGAAGCATTCTCTACCACTCTTCTTTTTTTTTTTTGTTTTGAATTTATCATTCCTACATATGATGACAAGGTCAATTTGGAGGTGAAAATATGGAAATGTAAGTAACAGTGAATGTCTCCAACTGTCAGCAATAAGAGTATAGATCACCTGTACAAACATATTGACCCTTCTCATTACTTTTCAATTCTCTTTTCTTTAAAGAGGTTGCAAAGGTTTTCTCAAGCTTAATGGAATACACAATAGATTTTAAAGTAGTTGGAAGAGTTGGGTTAATAATAATAACTAGCATTTATATATCACTACTATGTGCCAGGCACTGTGCTAAACACTTTACAATTATTATTTCATTTGATCCTCACAACCTAGAGAGGTAGGAGCTATTATTATTATCCTCATTTTACATATAAGGAAACTGAAGCAGAGTTTAAGTGACTTGCCCAGGGTTACACTATTAGAATTGGAACACAGGTCTTCCTGACTTCCCAAGTCAGACATTCTATCCACTATACCACCAAGCTGCCTAGTTTAAATGCCAGCTCTTCTGTTCACAACCTGTGTAACTTTGGATAAGTCTTTTAACTTCTCTAAGCCTCAGTTTCCTCACATAAAAAATTTGAAAGGATTTGTCTAGACTATAAATCATGGATAAGCTCCCTGCCAATTCTAATTCCTGTGATCCTAATGTGAATCCTGTGGCTCTGATCCACCCTCTGCCTTATTTAGTAACTCATCACCTCTGGTAACATTACTAGTTCAGATCTCCAGGGAGAGGCAGAAAGTATCAAAAACTGCTCATCCATCAACCTGTCACCCCTGGCAACAGCTTAGCAGTTCATAAAGAGTATCAGGAAAGACCAATGCAATAGTCAATCCAATTTCCATAAGGTTCAGACCCTAGGTCAACAAAGAAGAAAAAAGAAAGGAGACAAAAAGAAAAATATAGTAAAGAAGAAGGTTGGCTTTGGTTTGGTTTTTTGTTTTGTTTTGTTTTATTCTGCCTTTCTGGGTGTCAATTCTTCATCTGTAAAATGAAGGGACTGAACTAGATAATCTCTAAAGTACCTTTCAGTTCTAAATCCTTGATTCTATGATCACTTTCACTTTCTACCTCAAGCCTCAGCTTCAGCTGAGGGTGTTGGGAGTTGTTCTCAAGTTGTGAGTGTGACTAGTCTGCTATGCATTGGATAGTAGAGATATATTGTTTTAAGTAACAGGTGATGTAAAAATTTTAAAACCTAAATGAATATCTTTTTGGTGTATACATTTATAAACAGAATGTATGCTAAAAGGTTTAGCTTGCAGGAAATAAACGGATAAATGATAAAACACTTCCTCTAAACAGAGAGGTAGGAGAAAAGGGGCTGGAAATGCTGTATGTACTGTCATATGAGGTTAATAAATTGGCTTCTTTTGTTAAAAAAAAACAAGATTCATTCTATTGTTTAGCATGGGAAATATCAGGATATGACTACATAGTAAAAATAAAATTCATCTATCAAACAAAAATAAATGAAAGGTACAGACTCTAGGGCAAGGGTTGTTAAACAGAGTCCCAGATAGATTTCAGGGAGCCCATGAACTTGGAGGGGAAAAAATGCACCTGTATTTTCACTAATCTCTAGAGGAAATTTAGCATTTCCTTCGATTATACAAGTAGGCAACAATATGTGTGGTTCGATAAGTCTCACAAAATTTCCAGAGAGGTCCATCATACACACACACACACACACACACACACACACACACAGACACACACAGACACACACACACACACATGCACACACGGTTGAAAGCCCTTGATTTAGGGTCCACTAAAAATGCTTCACTTCATATATTTCTTGGAAAAACTTTCATTTCTCATAGTCAACAGAAAACTAAGTTTGTGCTCAGCATGCTTGATTTATTGCATCATCTGAATAAGTGGAGTCTAAAGTAGTATTTTATCAAGATCACACTTGTTAAAAAGGGTTATAAAGTGAAAATACAAACTAGCTAATTGTCTTGATATAGTTATATGTCTGTGTAACTGGTTACTATCAAAGTATATTTATCCATTGAAAGTTAATAATTAGTATGGTTAATAAAATTTCTCTTAAGAAATTAAGATTTTGTTTCAAATTATTTCTTTATATCATGAGAATTAAAAAGCTATTCTCTCCTGCTATTCCTACCCCGCTTATATTTTGTGTGATAACTGACCTATGTAATAGGCTCTCTTTCCCTATCATTTCAGCTTGCTTTTTAATAAAAAGAAATATATATATATATATATATATATATATATATACACACACACACACACACACATATATGTATATATGTATACATACACACACACACACACACATATATATATATTTCTCCTTTAAGTACTAATCCTAGTTGGGGGGTACATGTGGGTTGAAGATATGACTTTTTTAAATGGAATTAGACATGGGTAACAGCCATCTGACTATTATATACCAATAGTCTGATGGGAAAGATTTGAAGTAAGATTTTAGTCTGCAATTCCTGACTTACATTCCTATCGTCTTCTGACTCTCTATGGACATAAAGAAAAAATTCTGCCCATGAATGAATCAATGTCATGCTGCACAATTTGAACTTAGCATGTTTCCATAACCTTTAATTTTGCCTTCATTTCCTTTTCTCCCTTAATATAAGATGACTCTAAAGTCTGTATTTCTTGCCTAGGGGACTGGGATGAGAGCAATGTCTCGTTTTACACAAAGGGCAAGGCATTGCATAACATGCCCCCTGCTGTGACATAACAAAGAACAAGAACAACATGGATAATTAGGTAGACAATGGCCCCCTGGGGAAGTTTTTTGGTTGTTTTTTTTTGGGGGGGGGAGGCTACCTGTACCATTGATGGAAGGAAGGTATATGGAGAGTGGGAAAAACAAGGGGAGGCTGGTCAGGGTGGGGCCTGGAATGACAGCAACCTCTGCAACAGCAGCAAATGCCAGGGCTAGGAGAAAGGGGAAGGGGGGCCAGCAGTGCCTGGAAGGAGGCAGCTGGGTGGAGGGGGAGGGGCGAGCGGTGCATCCCCGGGGGGATAGGGGTGGGGCCGCACGCTGTACCTGCGCGGGCTCAAGCGCCCCAGCCACTGGGTCCCCGACTCCGAGATGTTCCCGGAGAAGATGCTGGTAGCTCAGACAGTGCTTCACAGCGGAAGGCATGTTCCCCATGCCTGTGCCGCTGCCTCTGCGGGCTGCCTGCCGTCGCAGCTGCAGTGGGGCTTAGGGCCCAGTTTGGGGCTGGTCCTGGAGTCCTTTCTTCCACAGCCTGAGCGTCCGGTATGCAGCGAGCCCCGGAGAAGCATCCACCAAGCGCTGCCTCTTCCTCCTCCTCGGCAACCTGCTCTCACCACTGAGCATGCCCAGAATTACCAGCGCTAGCTCCTCAGGTTCCCCTGTCACCTGCGAGGCTCATCCCTGGGGAAAACAAAGGAAAATTCAGTTCAGTTCAATATGATTCAATTTAATGCGACTCAAAACATTTATTAAGTGCTTCCTACGGGCATGGGTCAAGGAGCAGTCTGATGTCGAAAAAAGAGTTTCGTAGTTAGGAACACCGAAATTCCAGTATGTCCCCTGACCTAAGTTGAGTGTATGACCCTGGACAAATCTTTGATTTCTAATTGCCCCCAGGAAACTGGCTAAGAATATAAATTGCAAAGCAGTTTCCAATTTGCTTTGGAACAGGGAGTTCCTTAGACCCACGAAATCACAGGTCTGGACCGCTGATAAAAGAAAAAGTACAAGGCATAGGTATGTATATGCATGTATATGTATAGGTATATGTGTATATGTATGGATATGTAAATGTGTATGTATATGTATATGTGTGTAGCATCTATTTCAATACAATTGATTTTGTTTGTAATCCCATGTATTGGGGTTCACATGATCCACCAGACTTCCAAAGGAGTCCATGACGCACAAAAAAATTAGGAATCCAGGACCAAAAAAAGTGAAATGAATGAGGATACCCAATCTCTATCAGGCATAACAATTTTAAAGCAACTGACTACTGAGGAGAAGGAGATCAGAGAATGATTTCAGATGAAACCGTCACATGCATTCAGAATTATGAATGTGTAACAGTGATCAGGCAAATGATGTACTTGACATGGGAGCACAAAGCTAAAGGTTAGATATATATATATGTATATACATCTACTATACATATAAAAATACATACATATATACATGCAGAGAGAAAGAGAAAGAGCTTTTATTTAGTCCTTTCAGTTTTGTCTGACTGTGACCCCATTTGAGGTTTTTGTGGCAAAGATACTAGAATAATTTGTCACGTCTTTCTACAACTCATTTTAAAAATGAGGAAATGAGGCAAATAGGGTTAAGTAACTTGCCTAGGCTCACGCAGCTAGTGTGTATATGAGGCCAGATTGCAACTCAAGATTAGTCTTGCTGACTTCAAGCCCAGCTCTCTAATACTCTACACACTATGGCAACTAGCTGATTGATATATGCATGTATGTGTGCATGTATGTACATATATAAACACATGTATATTCATAAATTTGCATGTGTATATGTGTGTCTTTGTGTGTACATGTGTATCTGTGTGTGTTGGACACCTAGTTAACTTGAAAAGGCTACAAGCCAATACTAAAGTAAAGGGAGAGTTGGTGCACAACTTTTTGTTCTCAGATAATTGTGCACTCAATGAAGCCTCTGAGGCTGAGATGCAGCAGATCATGGATCAGTCCTCTGCTTCTTGTGCTAATTTTGGCCTCACAATTAACACCAAGAAAACAGAAGTTCTCCACCAGCCAGCACTGCACCATTCATACTTGGAACCATCGGTTACAGCAAATGGAGAAATTTTGAATGCTACGGTTAAGTTCACTTACCTTGGCAGTACACATGGATAAGGCTGATGTATGCATTGCTAGAGCTAACTCAGTGTTTGGGAGGCTGCTAAGGAAGCTGGGAAAGAGAAGATATATAAGGCTGCCTACCAAACTGAAGGTCTACAGAGCTGTTGTGCTGACTTCATTGTATGCCTGTGAAACCTGGACAGTGTACTAGTACCATGCCAGGAAATTGAATTGCTTTAGAAAGATTCTGAAGATCACCTGGTAAGAGAAGGTACCAGACACTGAGGTCCTTTCTCAAGCTTAACTGCCAAACATTCAAATTCTGTTGCAGAGAGAACAACTCTGATGGGCTGGGCATGTTGTTCAAATGTCAAAGGTACATTTGCCTAAAAGACTATTTTATGAAGAGCTCACACATGGCAATTGTTCACACAGAAATCAGAAAGAAGTGATAAAATGACACTCTCAAGGTCTCTCTGAGGAACTTTGGAATTGATTGTGAGTTGTGGGAAACACTGGCACAGGACAGCCCAGCACTGCATTCCTAAATCAAAGAAGGCACTATGCTGCATAAGCAAAGTAGATTTGCAGTAGCTCAAAAGAAATACGGGATGCACAAATTTAGAGACATCTCCATTCCGAATGTTCATAGGGACTATTTGTGCCCTATCTATGGTAGAGCCTTCTGAGCTTATATTGGTCTGATCAGATACAGTCAGATACAAGTACACTGACCCTGACATAATGATGTCATTTGGGTCCTCTTCAGTTACAAGGACAACAACTAAACATATGCATATACATTTACATATACATATACATATACATATACATATACATATACATATACATATACATATACATACATATACATATACATATACACATACATATACATATACACATACACATACACATACACATACACATACACATACACATACACATACACATACACATACACATACATATACATATACATATACACATACATATACATAAGTTCCTGTTGGTTAACAGATAACATGTCTATCTCAAAGGCTCCAGGCTTTAACAATAAACCCATGGAATGGATGAAAGAAAAGGAAAAATGTGTTCCCATCTAAGGAAAGCAGTCCCTTGGCATGTAGAATGAATATAGTGAGGACATACTATACAATAGTTAGGGAGAGGCAATTACCTACCGATCAATTGACTATTATGTCTTCTGTTCCTGAAGGGCCTTCCCCTGTCCCCTCAGCTGTTGAATCCATTGCATATATTTCTCAATAGCATAGCCTTGATGTTTACCAGGATTTGATGTTTAACTATGTTCAAGATAATACCTGATTCCATTTTTGTTTTTTACTAAGTCTCCATCCATTCTCTGTGTCAGTAAAAATGAGTTTTAGCTTATTTTCTTTAATGTCTTTCCACCTCTCAAACTGAATTGAATTTCTAAGTGGCACCAATTCAAGTCATCCAATAAAATATTTATTCTGTACTCTGTCCTTAATGTCTTCAAAATGCCAACCACTCCCAACTCTTATCCATATCAGAGTCTCCAAGAGATCTGGGAATCAGTACTTCTGTTAGAAACAAATCACTTCTTATCTTTGTTTTTTATTTCCACAGGCAAGCACACGAATATCTCCAGGGTAATTTAAAGGATTCTGGAATCACTCAGATGCAAGACTGACTGAAGAAATCATTAGGCAGTTTCCCACAGAGCAGGGACATCTCAAGCACTCCATTATTCTTCCATCTAATACAATAAGCAGTTTCACAGATCTTCAGAACAGAAGGAACCTCAGGAACCTAGTCTTGCACCCCATACCTAAAATATTAATCTACTTGGCAAAAGTCTCAACAGATGATCATCCAATCTCCCCTTGAAGAATTCCAGTAAAGGGCAAACTATTATCCAAGATAACCCATTTCACTAGGAATCAGCTCTAATAACCAGATTTTTTTTGACTTATATTAAGTGAAAATGTGTCTTGCTGTAACTCTCCCCCTTTGTTCCTAGTTCTGCTTGTTGAGATCAAACAAAACAAATCTGATACATCTTCCAAATGAGAAATCTTCCAAAGTTTAAAGATAGCTGTCACATCTTCCCTCTACTCTCAAATCCCACTTCACCTGCCAAGTCTTCTTCACAATAAATATCAATTTCTTCAACGGGCCAGGTTTTTAAAGTCTTATTGACTATCTCTAGCTTGTCAATGTCTTCTTTGAAGCACAGTGTCCAGAACTGACCTCAGTATTCCAAAGGAACCCTGACTACACCATAAAACAATGAATTACAAGCTGATAGATATTTAACTTCCTGATGCAATTACATGATCGTGTCACTGTACTACTCAGAAAATCTTCAATGGATCCCTATGCCTACTGCATAAACTCCAAACTCCTTAGCTTGGCATTGAAAGTCAGTCATCTGTATCATTCCTGCCTCATTTTATCTGCCTAAATACCTATTAAACAATTATTCATTCTCCCCAGATGTGTCCTATGCTTTCCAGTCTTCAAACCACCTTTCGCATTTTTCCCTATGCCTATAATGCCTTCTCTTCATTTTTGTCTTTTGATATTCCATCTGCTTCTTGGAACTCAGCTTAATTGTTGCTTCCTTAATGAAGCCTTCCTTCATTCTCCCAGATGGGAGTGAATAAATGAATGAAAAAAAATTATTAACCATTACAACATGCCTCATTGTTCAGTCTTGTCCTACTTATCATGACCCCATATGGGGTTTTCTTGGCAAAGATACTGCAGTCATTGCCATTTCCTTCTGCAGCTCATTTTACAGATGAGGAAATGGAGGCAAACAGGGTTAAGTGACTTGCACAAGGTCATACAGCTGATAAGTGTCTAAGGCCAGATTTGAACTCATGAAGATTAGTCTTCCTGACTCTAGGCCTAGCACTCTATCCACTGCATCACCTACCTGCCTATAATGTGCAGTTAGTAGTGCCTAATAATAGGCCAGGGATATATTACAAGCTTTTACAAATAGTATTTTATCCTCATATTAACTACGTGTGGTAGGTGGCATTATAATCCTCATTTTCTATTTGAGTAAACTGAAGCAAACAGAGGTTACAAAAGTCACACAGTATGTGTCTAAGGCCAGGTTCAAACTCAGGTCTTCCTAACTCCAGACCCCGTACTCTACCCACTGCACTACCAACTACCTCAGTATGCTAAGTGATTTCCTTTATTTTGTATCTTATTTTATATTTTATAGGTTATACCTCATGTATCATAATCTGGATTGTTTTATTTATCCATTTACAGGTCTTAATCTCACTCTACTTGACTGTAAACTACCTGAGATCCAAGATCACATAGACTACACGGTATGTGTTTTGAAAGGAGACATCTGAAAGAGCTTAACTTAAAAAGGCCACTGCATCCTGGGCCATCTCCAGGCATCCTGATCTATATCTAG